TGTACATTATGAAATTATTAAGTAAGTTATTTAGTTATTATAACATAACATTTTCATAACGTATAGGTTATGTTAGATTAGGTTAATTCACTTTGCAACAACGCATATACATTATTATATAATGTCATAACCATTATCAAATAATAATTTTTTTTATTTAATCATTTACAGTTAAATCTAATACCAATGCCACGCCGTAGCCAGGATTTTTTTCAGGGAGAGGGGAGGGGATGCTTAAGTCATTTGACCTAACTTAACCTAAAGTCCCCCTAACTACGGCACTGTCTTATATCTATGTTGTTATATCATATACAACCCAACTTTATTTTCCTTGACCCATTTGTTGGTCGCGTGATTTCTCACCTCGGTATTATTTCAGACGCACCTAAGTTAGCGTACGACCTACAACTACTATATCTACGACTTACCACTGTGTATTTTTTATGTTTATTGCCTTAAACATCCGCGTATATAGGTTATCAGTATTTAGTAACATATAATCTAAAATTAGTTATGCTTTATGCATCACCAGGAATTATATCACTATCGATTGACTATACTCGTCTAACTACGTGTTCCGTCACAACTCTGAACTCTGAATAAAAAAAATTATCTTCATTAACTTTACAATAATATAATAATATTTATACGTAATAGTTAAATTTTATTAAACTATATTATGAATACGAGAAGGATATTCAAGTATACGAATTTTAAGTGATAATAATAATTTATGGTTTATTTTTTCAACCCCTATAGAGCGCTATAGAATGGTTCACTCATGAATATAGTTTTAACCACTCGAAAAAAATTGTTGTTTGTGAAAAAATGACCATTATTAATGAATTATAATATTATGTGTTGACGTGTATATTGTAGGTACGTTCAAAATTGTAAACAAAATATACGAAAACGTACCCGTGGAACAGCAGCACAAATGGAAAATATAAATGGAATTTGAACGTTTTATGAGAATGAGCTAGTGTTTTGGTATTTGTGTTCGGCGTGCCGTCGAGAATTCGAAGGTTGTCTGGCAGGGTATGTAGGTATAATGATATATACGACGGAATGAGTGGTGATCGTAGAACAACATTTATTCGCGGGGACGGGGGTTGAAGGGGTTGAGACAAGATAGTGTCGAGAGATTAAAGAATATTGCACCCACTCGCTTGAGGAGGGTAACAACCAACAATGGAGATAGGAATACCTATGACCTATACCTATATAAACACCGTAATATTATAATATACATATATCCAATATATATAGGTAGGTACACATTACAATATAGCCACATAGGTAATATAAAGCCGTCACGCGACACCGATTTAATACTCGTAAACATATTCGTGTAATCGAATATACTTAGCACCGGTACGGTATAGCGGGCAATATATATATGTATAATATTATACTGAAACTCTCGATTATCTACGGAATAGGGTGGCTCAGCAGTGATGGATAAGCAAATTCCGTGCGTAATCCCCAAAATGGTCAAAATATAAATTGAAACGAAAATACTAATATGATAGTTTATAATATATAAATTTTAGTTATTAATGTATAAGTAGTAGGTAGGTTGATATATTGTGGACATATTGTATTTTTAATTAGATAGGTGGATAGGTATAGTAATAGGTACATATTTACTTTTTTACAAGAAAATCAGTCACCTGGTATCCGGACATTTTCCCCCCGGACATTTCCCCCCCCCGGCTGTTTTCGGCGTAGTAGGACATTTTCCCCCGATAAATTTTTGGATGCGGACAT